TGCATTATGAGGATACATAGGCAAGATATTGCGAGATCTTGACGAGCACACTAATAAAAAATCCTCTTTTTTCCCCAATAGCAAGTAACCTTTAGATAACGACAATCATTCGTGCTTAGACGACCTAGATGGTTCTCGTTGAGTATAATGGATTTGAGAGGTGTTAATACCTTCCCCTTGCATAACTGACTTCTGAACCCTAATTTGATTGTGAGACCATATTATTCACCTTTTAGAGGGTTTTATTGATATTTTCCCTTTCTTTAGAATAAATAAATTTCGGGGTGACTCTGTGCATTTTTCGCGTAGCGATAAAACCTCTGCTAGCTTCTGCAACAGATAATTAATCTTTATCAGAATTAAATGAGTCGATTTAGTCAATCTATCACAACAACCCAAATCGTATCACTCCCTTTAGAAGTATTGGGCAAACTCATCACAAAATCCATAGAAATATTATCACACTTCCATCGCCTTATGCCATATTCTGATAGTAGTACCATGATTCATTCCAAAGTATTAGTCTAGAATAAACCATAATATGAACAAGATCTTGTTCTCAGCAGAATAATTAATTTCATTGTCTTGACTCAAGACTTTAAGATCTTTGATAAGCAAAGAACCATATGATGTTAGCTATCAGAGAATGACATAAAATAAATTAAAGCACCATCACTAATTGCCTGCAGAACACAAATAAAAATTGAATATTATTCATAGACTTATCCTTTAATACAAACTCCATGATGACCCTCAATCAAGGAGCAATGCAGTCTCTTAAGATATCAAATTAAAGAGCAGACTCCTTATTATCAAATATTGAAGCGAGATAGATTTGGCATAATCTCTTTCTCTTCAATACTTGATTTTTATTTTAGGACTCAGATGCTTCTTCAGAAGCAATAATAATTGGCAGAGCCAGATTACTCTTTTATCTGAATCCTGCACTAATGTCGTCTTCAAAAGAATATGCAGTGAAGACTAACTGACATTAGGTTCTGGTAGTGTTTCTCCTTGATTTCAGATCTGGGAAATTAGTTGAAATACAAGTATTTTAGAAGCTTCTAAAGTTACTATTTTATTGATAGATATTACAACTCATCCAGCTGGTTAAGAAGTACTTCTGACAAGAAATATAAGTTCCTTATCATCAGACACTTCAAAGAACCAATCTTTAAAAAAGGTGATCTGTTACATAAATTTTTGTCATCTAATTTCATTTCTTTTCTCGAATACTTGCAAGACAAACCAACAGACCGCAATAAATTCAAGTTGTATAACTCTTTGAATAACCGTGACTTCGGCTTTGAATTTAAACCAATCTTCTCAGAATTTGCTTGAAAGATTAGATGAAGTGTACCTAGACAAGCTTCAAAACTAAATCCCACAAATATGAGCACAAGGATTCAAAGATAGTATGAGCATCAGACATATCAATGATATTGACATACTCAGAAGTGAGATAGACCACCTACCAAAATGCAACTACCTCTGAAGATATTCAATAAGCTTCTTCTGAACTGGTGATATAGACTTTCAAATATATTATCTCTACACCATCAATTTCTATAGTAATACCTTTTGAAAGGATATTTTATAGACCTTTAAAACCCTTTTATCAAGACCAATGTTTTAAAAATATGTTTTGTTCTTCCATCATTTAAGTTTAATGGAATCACCCTTTGAATATGGTAGGAAAAGCAGTATAATATTTTCATGTGGCACTTGATTCCTTCTTGAAGAAAAGTCTTTGACAGATATACTTTTCTTATTTGATCATTATCTAAGTCACTGTTAAGTGTTAAGCATAGGCTAGCTCTGACATCAATTGAAGGTGAGAAAAGTACACAAGAAGGGGGTTGAATTGTGTTTTCTGTTTTCTTAGTTTGCATCCGATTAGAGTTCAAACTCTAAACTAGTGTTCAGATTCTGGTTAATTCTTAGCAGCGGAATGTTAACATAAGAAAATGAATAATAGAAGAAGACACAAATATTTATACTAGTTCTTCCCCTAACTGAGAGTAGTCCGGTCCCCTTGCTTCACAAGAGATTTTTACTATAATTAAAACATGATTACAATCGCTTATGCATTCTGCATAATACTTTTACACCTGTTTAGACCTAATATCCAAGACTTCTGCTCAAGCTCCTCACTTGATACTTCCTGCTCAGGTTCCACGAACCCAAAACTTCTTTGCTCAGGCTCTCAGCCCAAGACTTATGCTCCAAGTCACATGAAACAAGCATCTTCTTGCACCTCCTGGGTCAAGACTTACTGCTCCAATTCCATGTACTGAGCATTCCTGCTCAAGCCTCTCAGGCTCAAGACTTCTACTCCAGGTTCCATGAAACGAGCCTCTGCTTGCACCTCACAGGCCAAGACTTATTGCTCTAATTCCATGAACCGAGCTACCCTGGTCAAGCCACACTGGCTCAAGACTTTCATGCTCAATCAATCTACTTGATTAAGACTTTCATTGCTCAAGGACATAGCAAGAGTCTTACGTGGCTTAAGCATTTTGGCTCGAGAATTCCTTGCTTATATCCCAATGACTCAAGACTTCTGCTTAATCAATCTAGTTGATTAAGACTTTCGCAGCTCAAGTACATAGCAAGAGACTTATGCGGCTCAAGCATCTTAGCTCGAGACTTCTTTGCTTGTATCCCAATGACACAAGACTTTTATTTAAACTGTTGAACAAGCTCAGCATAATAGAGAACAAGGTGTACATGATACAAATATCATAGGTACGGGAAATCACCATAACAAAGACCTAAAGCACTTAAGATTTCTAAGATATTCAATGTGTAAGAAATCTTAAGGTTTTTACAATTACAACCTACATCAAAAAAATATGCATATACATTAAGTTGATAATTATTGATCTAGTTACTCCTTCTTCTGGTTGATCCTTGTTAAAAATTCAGTTTGAACCTTCAGTCATATTTATAGTCTTTTCAGAAACTAGTTGTTGAAGAAGTAACTTGATCAAGAGTTTTTGCTGTTACTTTATAGTACAAGAGCCGTTGAAGATAGATACACCATAAGATCTTAATCCAATGTGTAACATGTTTAACCTTTGAGTCTTCAAGAGATTATGTGTTATTAGAGTCGTTGAGAGTAGATATCAATAAAGCATCTCAGCCTTTCTCGAGCCTTGCAATTTGTAGACTCTAGCTGACAAACTGATTTGACAATACAACTTGCTTTTTGCAGTACGGACAACTTCAGCTTTATCACTAACTTTGAATGGTACCAGAAGACAATTTGTATTCACTAAGTGTACAGACAATTATATTGCCTCTTTTGATGCCGAAACCTTCAGCTTTAAAGTCTTCGTCGGACATCACTCAGCAAGTGTTCTTCAAATTCTGCCTGTCACACCTTAAATCTGTCCTCCCGTTTTTTTTTAAATATTTTCGTTTTTTCGATTTTATTTTTAATTTTGCACTGCCCACTTAATTTCATGCCATTTAGACACGTGTCCACCCACGATTGGGCGTTTTTTCAAATCTCTGTTATTTTGCCCAATGAGAGTGTGATACGTGGCCCAAGGAGGTTATTGTTTGTAAATACTAATTTTGTTTTTTCTTTTCAAAATATTAATATTTTTGTACATATATTGTTTGTTAATAGTTTTTAGAATAGAATTTTTATTTAGAAATTACATAGAATAAAAATAGTTTTTTTTTAATATAATAGAATTAGTTTTAAATTAGATTTTAAATAGAATTTGAATTAGGAATAGTTTTTTTAATTAGATTTAAAATAGGATTAATTTAGAATAGATTTTTTTTATATAGAATTTAGAATTTTTCTTATAGAACTTTTTAGAATTTTAATTAGATATATTTAGATTTTAAGTTAGAGTTATTAGTAGAATTAGATTTTTTTTATTAATATTTGAATTTAGATTTTAGAATTTTAAATAGAGTTTTATTTAGAAAATAAGTTTTTATTTGTTTAGAAAATAGAAATTAGATTAGAATAGAATTTCATTTGAGAATAGATTTTATTCATAAAATTTTAATTAGGATTTAATTTAGGAAATTAGATTTATTTTAATTAGTTTAAATAGGATTAGAATTAGATTTATTATTAATTAGGATTTAAATTTTAATTAGTTTATTAGAATATTAGTTTTAAGGGTAATGTTAACTTGTGCCCTTGGGGCACATGTTAAGAACTAAATTAAGAAACATTGTCTTGGAAATTGTGTATAAACTTTAATTAAAGTATAAAATTAACTTGTAAATCGTTTTTTCCAATGCAAATTCACTATAAGTGGTTTTTTTAACATGTGCCCCAAGGGCACAAGTTAACATTACCCTAGTTTTAATAGTCAGGTAATTAATTGTTAGAATTAGATTTAGCATTAGTTAATTAGTATTTAGATTGTTATTATTAGTCAGTATGGAAAATGAAGACATGTGTCTGCCATATAAAGAGGAATCCCCTGTTCATTTTCTTCTACACTCAGCAACCCTAGCCGCTGGAAAATGGCCTCCCAACCTCCCTGTTCATCGTTCTCTTCTTCCTCGTGAAAAAACCCTAAAAACGGCCACCCTCACTACTTCATCATCACCATAATCGTCCTTCAATCATCTTCTCCAAATAACCCTTCCTCCAAAACCCAGAACCACTTCATCTTTAATCACTTTTCCCAATCTCAGAACCAGCAAGACCCAACCCACTCGAAAACCGTTTTTGGACCACCTTCACCCCTTCAAACCCAGATCCACAAACATCACATAACCTCCACCATTCTCAACCTCTTCAAACCTCCAACAACCAACATAAGCCTATAAATCTTCTTCCATCGAACCTCAAACCTCACTCGACCTCCAAACATAACCCATAAAGTTTCCGCAAACAACCTATTTCCAAACCCTCCACCATTAACGGACACGAACACTATTCACCTCCTCCCCTTTAGAAACCCTTTCAATCTCCTCCATCTTCTTCATTTTCATTCTATTTCATCGTAAAATCCCTTACCATGAACGATTTCGATGGCCTTCTGGCTTCCAGATTCGGATCCTCAACCGCTTGTCACCCGCGCGACGGTGGTAGTTTCGACGATCTGTTCGCCTCAACCGGATCCAAGCCTCGTGGAGCCGATACGCCGTTCGATTTGAACTCCATGTTTACGGGATCCGACGGTGATGTCGCATCTAAGCATTCTTCTCCTCTGCTGGTTTATGACAAATCGGTATATGATGATGAAGTTTTTGACGGTGTACCTGGTTTGAAGAGCACGGGGAAGATTAATCTTGATATCGTTTTTGCATCTCCGAAAATGGAAAGTGGTGCATTTTACGATCTTCTCGATGGATTTGGTAAGGAATCGAAAGGTTCTGGTAGGAATGGTTCTGAGAAAGAAGATAAAGATGGTTCCGATTTTGATGATTTACTACCTGGATTTGGAAGAAGTAGACCATCTTCTAGTGACAGGCATGCTCCTGATATTGGTTTGTCCTCAGAACCAACTGTGTGTGTATCTAATACGTCATCCACTGCAACAGAGGACCCTTTCAAAGTATTTGAATCAACTTCACACCTTGTTTTCTATCCTAACCCCCTTTATTTTTAATGTAAATTTTTTCCAAAAACTAGTGCTAAGATTTGTAAATATTAAGTTAAGTTTTTAGAGTTTTATATATATATATATATATATATATATATATATATATATATATTCTTGAAACTAGCTTTTAAATTTGTATTGCAGTGTTATAAATTAGTTTTTTTTTAATTTGTTAATATAGTTTTTTAATTTAGTTTTTTAGATTTATATATATTTTTCTAATCTATTTTAATTTTTAGAGTTTTTTTAATAATATAATTTTCTAAAGATTTCTTGATTTTTGTTTAGTTGGGTTTTTGTTAAAATACTTCGTTAAATAAATTGATTTGTGTTGATATCAAGTTGCGCTTGATTTTATTTCACCTTGATTTCATTACGCACATTTCATTTGGGTCGATGAAGAGACCGTCTATGTTTTTCTGTCAAATTATTGACGAGAAACGATAGATTCGAGACCGACTTTTCTCTTTCGTTTTCATTTTTGACCGTTTATCCATCTTTGGTTATTTTCGTCATTTTTGGTCGATGATGAGACCTCTGTAAACTGTTATTAGTCAAACTATTGATAAATAATGTTGGATCCGAGACCACCTTCTTTCTCTCCTCATTTCTTCTTCATTTCAATTTTTATTTCAATTTCTGCGACCTATGAAGTCTTTTATTCGTAAGCGCCGTTTATCGAAGTCGATAACCTTCTCGATTTCAAATCTATGGAAAATGACCATTTAGGTCATTTTCTTTACTTTAGGATCGTGATAGGCTACCTTCGATTAATCGACATAATGTTTGTGATTAAGACGAGATCACACCTCTTTTGGTCCGTGCGACACGATTCAATTGGAGAATGGTTCTCAATATCATTTCTCTATCTTGTCTTTAGCACGGATATCAATTATGTGACCTCCTATAGTTCTACTTCCATCATAAGTCGAGCCACAACGGTTTAGCATCACATTTATCCCGATTCAATTCACTAACAAATTAACCACTAAGTTTATTTTCTGTCAAATATTAATTGTTTTAAATTCAGTCATTATTCTTATACATATTGTTATATTCTGTATATTATCCATATCTTGTAAATATTCAAACTGACTTGTACATTCTTTCAAAACACCTAATCAATATCGAAATCATAAAATCTAAATTGGTGGACTGTTGGTTATCTGTATCCTGTATATATTCATATCCATCTCCACTCTCTTTCGCATCTTCTCTAAAACTTCTTTTCGCAACTTTTTCTCCTAAAAACCTCGGTCCCGTACCGAGTGCATTTTCAAAATTCTTTTCACAACAAAACTTGAATGGTCGTGGAGTGGTTAGGCGTAGGCCTTCTCCTATCCCGAGTGTTGACATTACCGTATGGTTCACTGTCGCAAAGCACTTACCATTCAAGAACAAAAACATCTTTAATAAGAGAATGAAGTTCTCTTTGTATTGAATTAAAGAGAGAGGATTGAGTATAGACTTCTTCCTCTCCGAGTGTCAGAATACTCACTGTAGAGTGTGTGGTCTCGATACTCGTCTTTCAATACGAAGACGCTTGTATTCGTCACACCTTTTCATAACAAAACTTTGAGATAAAGAATTGGGTACTACCCGCAAGGGGTTACTATCTGAGAACCTATTTCACCCCTAAAAAACAACTCCACAAATCAAATGTGACATCTTGCCTCGCATGGCGAAAATTCTATCTTTTCAAAAAGGATATGTTACGTCCGTTCTACCGCAAACAAGTAACGCCTAAGTCTCCAACGAGCGAGCAGTAATACACCTAAACTGCTAGAATGCGCATGATAACATCATCCACAAAAACACCAGGTTACCCATTTCACGAACTACGTTGCTCTGATTTCTCATGCATGTTGAGAATACGTAGGCACAAGACGACGATGTCTTGGCGAACACCCTTTTCTCTTTTCCACCCTTTCCCCAGAAAGGCATGCTACGTTCGTTCTACCGCAAACAGGTAACGCCTAAGTCTCCAATGAGCAAGCAACAATACACCTGAACTGCTAGAATGCGCACGATAGCATCGTCTACCAGAACTTCCCAGCAAACTGTAGACCGAACTACGGTTGCTCTGATTCTTTACTTCTTTTAAGTAAAGATACGTAGGCACGAGCGCCCCAATCCTTGCCGAGCACATTCCCCTCTTTTACCCGTAGTGCTCCGAACTACGTCGACTCTGACTTTCTCATATCTGTTGAGAATACGTAGGCCTAGGACCGCGAAGTCCTACCGAGTCTTTCTTCTCCCCCTTTACCTCTCTTTCCCATGTTTCTCGCCTCTCTTTATCCCTTGGAACACTCTTTATAGCAATAAACCTTTAGCAGATACTTTCACACGTCGACAAACAAATGGTTCCCATCGAGTACGATGGATGCGAGGGGTGCTAATACCTTCTCTTTGCATAATCGGCTTTCGAACTCGTTCTTTGGTCGCGAGACCATCTTATCTGTTTCTTTCTTAAGGTTTTCTGGATGTTTTCCTTTCCCCTCATGGAATAAATAAAGTTCGGTGGCGACTTTTCTGTCTTTCTTTTCATCTCTCCGTCATTACATTTTTCGAGTAGCGACGCTGCCATCAGAAGCTAGCAATCCAGCAACTCTCAAAGTGTGCTTAATGTAGAACAAATTCTTACAATAATATTTACAAGTATTATAACCTGCACACATGTAACACACATCAAATAAATCATTGATCTTTTAATACTTTGTTATCATCAAAACCCAAGAAAAATATGTCATAAACAAATCTTGTTCTAACATTTCTGACTTTTCGCAATGATGTGGGAGCATCCATAAAGGTGAAAAGAGCATTCCCCCATACTAAATACCACCTGAATTTTAATACACTAATAAATACTTATTATCTCTGTTTTCGCAAGATTGGCACCGACCAAAACACTATCTCATTCACTATAACAAAAGCAACAAAAGAGTTTGACGCAAGTCATAAGTAGAGTTTCAAACAACTTTTAGATGTTGTCCCCAATGAACAAATATTAAGTGTTAATTTGATTTATTGCTTTAAATATGTGTAATGTATCTCATTCCTATGTTTATCCTTTCGTAGAGAACACGTGATAAGAGGGCATGTCATAAAACATGTCTCATTTTATACCGAGATGTCCAAATTCAAATTAATTCAAATAAAAGTTGTAAATAAAACTAAAAAATAAAAAATAAAAAAATAAAAAAAAAAAATATATTATTTGTTTGGATATCATTTTATAAAAATTCAATTTAAATTAGATTTTAGATTAATTGTTCAAAATCTATCCCTACTCTATAAAAACTTTATATTTATTTTTTTAATATGATATATTATATTAATTTATTATTTAATAATATGACTATTTATTAGTTTATAGTTAATTTATTTAATATGATATATTATATTAACTTATTATTTAATAATATGGCTATTTATTAGTTTAGTTTAATCAATTTATTTCAACAAAAATCATCCGTTTGCATTTTGTAATATTAATTTTAAATCTACTATATTATAGATTCTATCAAATCTATTATTTACTATTTTTATGAATCTTTAAAAATATAATTTATAATTTGAATATTCAAAAATCAATCCAAATTAAACCGTAAAAAAATTAAATAGAATCAGATTTTTTATTCAATCATTCAAAAATCATTCAAAATCAAAATGACCTGCAAATAAATTTATCTTTAGATCCTTAACTATCACCATTGGCCCGAATGTATCAAAATTACAAACACATTCTCAACGCCTGTCTCCTGTTAGTAATTTTATAGACAAAAACGATCCAAAAATGTGAAGACTAAAACTGAATAACTAAAGACATGAACACCAAAATGATTAATAATAGATAAGCATGTACACATGTTTGCAATTTCGAGGAAAGAATTGTGAAAGGGCGAGCCTTCACACATTCAGAAACTAAAATGGTTGCTTATTCACAATGAATGACGCAGCATAATTGCCAATTTATCTTTTGATCTTTGAGGAATACATATGATTTAAAAATATCATAGGGAGACCTTGCCACCTATCATGGTCCTACACGACACAAGAAATTAGATTCTGTAATTATTCCTAAAAAATACCTGATTTATACCAAAAAAAAATAATATCATTGATTTAATTGATTCAAGAGTAAAAAAAAATCATTAACATTGCTATAATCTTCTCATTTCAAGCTATTGCAATCTCAAGAATCATATCAACCGAATAGAACCCCACAATCAATAGCAAAGTACTTTATCGCATATACAACCGAATAGAACCCCACAATCATTGAAAAATAAAAGTACGAACTGATATTATTCCCACTCAATTGTTGATGGAGGCTTTGACGTAATATCTAGCACAACACGATTCACACCACGGACCTCATTACAGATTTTGGTTGAGACATCGTCAAGGAACTTGTGGTCAAAGTAGTACCTGGAATTCAATTCAAATTACAGTTATTGTGAAGTGCTATTAAAGAAGATAACTGATAAGCAACTGTATTTAAAATTCTAAACTTAAATATAAAAAGGCCACTTAAAGCCAGTTATTAGAGGCATGTTTAACCTCATAAATGTAAGTTGAAAGCAAAATAATTTTATGCAGAAGTAGCATAACCAGCATCATAGCGATGTATGCTTCAGTTGAAATCTTACCAGCTTGCTGTCATTCCATCTTGACTCGTAACAGCTCTGAGTGCAACAACATGGGAGTGTGTTCTTTGATCACCTTGAACTCCAACAGATCTTATTGGTAAGAAAACTGCAAAGGCTTGCCAGATTACATCATAGAGGCCAGCATCTTTGATTGACTGAATGAAAATCTCATCAACCTGTAAAACAAAATGGACTCGAAACAATGACGGTACTAAACCAATATTGCATACAAACAAACACAAGCGCAACAGCTCCATGTACCTGTCGGAGAATATCTAATGCATTATCTTCAGTCACGTCACCCAATACTCTAACTGCAAGACCAGGCCCAGGGAAGGGATGACGTTTTAGAAATCCCTCAGGAACATCCATGATCCTCCCTAATTGACGAACCTTTGAACAAGGGAATGAAAATAAAAAAAATCATATCAATGCATAACATGACAAACACATAAACAAAAACAATCAGAGAATCCAATTCCAAGCACAAGCAATCAAGTCAATATAGTTCAAAAGTAAAACCTCATCCTTGAAAAGTAGTTTAAGTGGTTCAATAAGTTTCAATTTCATGTCCTTTGGCAGACCACCAACATTATGATGGCTCTTGATGGTATGGGAATGGGTTCTCCCACTTCCAGGTGGCGGGCATGATTCAATCACATCAGGATACAAGGTCCCTTGAACCAAGTAAGAAGGTCTGGTTCCCAGTTTCTTCTCTAGTTCCTGAGCAAAATCATCAAAAATGCAGATAAACTCTTTACCAATTATTTTCCTCTTAACTTCCGGATCCGTCACACCTTTTAGCTTTGTAAGAAATCGATCTACAGCATTAACACATACAACAGGTAAATGAAGATCCTTTTCAAAGGTTTTCATCACCCGTTCCTGCTCATTATACCTGTACACAACAGCAACAACAATAATAAACAAAACAAGAACCGAAAAAACCTCCCTCTTGAAACCCAATATCTTAGACTAGTGGTAACCTGAGCAAGCCATTGTCAACGAAAACACAATGAAGCCTATCCCCAATAGCTTTATGAACTATAGTAGCAGCAACAGTAGAATCAACACCGCCAGATAAAGCACAAATAACATGTTCCTTAGGCCCCACTGTATTATTGATCACTCTAATTTCTTCCTCCAACACATCCTCCATCTTCCACTCCGCCGCAATTCCACACACATCAAATAGAAAATGCTTCAGAGTTTCCATTCCCTCCGGCGTATGAGTCACCTTCAAAAACACAATAAGCCAATAAACACAATTGCAATACCAATACAGTACTTTTTGGATAAACAGCCTAATTCAAACAAACAATAAGTTCATTTATACTTTAAATTGAGAAATTTGATAATGGTTAACCATGTATATACCTCAGGGTGATACTGAAGGCCATATAATTTGGAAGAGGGATTCTCTATAGCAGCAACAGCACCCTGCTGGCTTCGCGCCACGACATTGAAACCCGACGGAAGAGTGACAGCTTCATCTCCATGGCTCATCCAGACAACTTGATTATGTCCAACTTTATCGAACGGGTATAGAGCAGAAGGATTTTCGACATGGATTTCCATCCGTCCATACTCCTGCGTGTTTCCGACACGAACTTCGCCTCCGAGACGGTGAACGAGAAGCTGGAGTCCGTAGCAAATACCTAGAACGGGGACGGAATTGGACTGAGCCCACTGGAGGAAGCCGTCAGGGAAGGAAGGGGAGTCGGGAGTATGAACGGAGTGGGGACCGCCGGAGAGAATGACGAGGGAAGGGTTGAGTTCGGTGATGGATTGAAGAGAGGAGGTGCCGTTGAGGCAGAGGGAGAAAACGGAGAGGCTTCGGATTCGACGAGTGATGAGGTGAGTGTACTGGGAACCGAAGTCGAGGATGAGGACAAGGTCGGATTTGACGCGTTTGGGATCCATTGCCATGGCTGCTGAGAGCTTTTAGGGTTTATGCTGCTGGAAGCTCTTGCTACTAAAACTACTCGGAGTAGGGTTTATGCAAATGCAGCCGTAGTGGAAACTATAAATGGATATTTTCTTATATTTTTGAATAATGCCAGAAAAAATATTAGATGCTATTAATTAATAGAATTTAATTGTGTAAAGAATCTTTATACAGTAAGTAAGGCTGACAATAGTACTGGAAATGAACCGAATCAACTCGAAAATAGTTCGGAATTCGGTTCGACAATTAAATTGTTGAACTAGGTTCATGAACCAAACGAGCTGAATATGAGCGAAAAACTATATTCGTTAACTAAATGATTCGAACTTGAACTATACATAGCTCGACTCGTTAAGGTTCATGAGTCAACTCGATTATATATGAGAATGATTATATTATCTTTAAGATTATGTTTAAAGATTTAAAACAAACTTTAACCCTATATTGTATCTTATGTACTATTTATGGAAATAAAGCTGACAATTGCATTTAGAGTAATTTTTGTTGGACACATTATGAAATTGGCTCAAATAACATGTGTAATGAATGTTACAAGTGGTGTAGTTATTCTGTGATGAAAATGTATCAACTTCTAGTATTTTTTTGTGTAATTTTCATTAAATTTGCAAGCTTCATACATATTTGATGAAGTTATGGATTTTTTAGATAAATTTAAACTTCAATTGAGTGTTTTTTGAATTAGATTTTCACATGTGTCTCTTAAAAGTTGTGTAGTTTTTGAATTATTAAATTTTTGAAACAAAGTTAAATTTCATACTCATAATTTTTATTTTATTCCAACATTTTCTTTTTAAAAAATATTAATTTAAAATGTCAAATAGATAAAAATAAAATAGACTTAAAAAATGGCTTTTAAGTCCGTGAAGCAAGTGATCTGAACCTAATGAGATAAATCTAACGAGATGAATCGAATAGTTCGTGAACTTTTAACGAGTTGAGTTTGAACTTAAAAAAAAGTTTGTGACGAACTTGAACCGAGATTTGAGCTGAATCAATTCTTAACGAGTCGAGCTGAGCTAAGGCGAGTTCGACTCGACTCATTTTCAGTCATAGCTGACAATAAACTGAACCAACTCGAAAATAGTTCGGAATTCGATTCGACAGTTAAATCGTTGAACTAGGTTCATGAACCAAATGAATTGAGTATGAGCGAAAAATTAAGTTCGTTAACTAAATGAGCTGAACTTGAACTATACATAGTTTGACTCGTTAGGTTCATGAGTCAACTCGATTACATATGAGAAGAATTATACTGTCTTTAAGATTAGGTTTAAATATTTACTCCAAATCTTAGACAAATTTAATCTTCAATTTAGTAGTTTTTGAATTAGACTCTCAAATGTATATCTTGAAAGTTGTGTAGGTTTTGAATGAGTAGATTTCGAATAAAGTTAAATTTCAATATGATAACTTTTATTTTATTTTAATATTTTATTTTTAAAAAATATATTTAATTAAAATGTCAAATATACAATATATATATATATATATATATATATATATATATATATATATATATATATTAAAAAAATTGATTTTAAGTCCGTGAATCATGTGAGCTGGACCTAATGAGATGAACCTAACGAGTTGAACCGAACTGTTCGTGAATTATAACGAGTCGGGTTTGAGCTTAAAAAAAAGTTCGTGTCAAACTCGAACTCGAACCAATTTTTAACGAGTCGAGCCGAGCTGAGGTGAGTTCGACTCGACTCGACTCATTTCCGGCCCTAACAGTAAGTTAATTAGTATTGTTGATTTAGTTTAAAAAAATTTACTTTTATTTTAACCACTTAAAAATAATACAAATGGATGACTGTGATGCATTGACAGCATACCATTATTCTTTTAAAAAGTCAATTATTTTAATTTTTAATGCATTTAATACAAGTATTTTTAAATAAAGTATTTTTTTTAACTCTTAACAAATGCTCTAGCATTCTCCTTAATAATATTATTTAGTTTTCTTTTTACCGACTGTAGTGCCTAATAAAAAAAATGTTAGGGTGGCTTTTTCATTCATAAATATAAGATAAGTTATTTGGTACTCAAGAGTTTAAATTGGATACGGATAGTTTAAATTGATTTAAAATTTAAATTTATTTTAAAATAAAATGAAGCGGGACGAGACAGACTTGCGAGTAATGCAACTTTAAAGTCTAAAAATTACAAATATTTATGATAATACTCGTACTCGAAAAAATTGGGTGGGGCGGAGCGAGCACATTAAAGATTACGGGGCTAAAACCTTAGTCTACCCCATAAAAAATTGTAGGCAAAATGGGCATCCCAGCAGTCGGACCCATTTTGTCACCCTAGTTCTAATATAAATCCTAAACAAATGTATCACATCAAGGTACACGTTATTTTAATCGAAAAACCTTTCGCCTTCAATTTTCACTAACTTGGGCGTGAGAGTGTTTGCAGGCACCCCTTAACGTCGAATCAGAGCAACAAAACTTAAATTAAACATTAGAGTTCACTATCGCATTCGGGTTCACTGCGTCTTTCGTGAACCACACTGATCTTCTCAATGTCATTGGCATTGTATTAAAAAATATTTTTAATGTTTCCACCACACTAATCAACATTCAGAATGATGAGCAAATGAATAAAATGTCATTGCACCAAGTGACTAGACCATGTTAATCTCTAAGCAGCGAGATTATTAGAACCATCCACTAGTCAAAAGATGGCCTTAGAGCTTCTTCATCGCACCAAGGAACCTCACCTTCTACATCGACAGTAACGACTTTTCAACCGTCTCCCTTGAAGATCGAAGATATTGAAATGTTTGTAGATTCCACCTCCATCTTATCAACCGACTGAATCGCTCATTTTTTTGTTGCCCTCTCAGACCAATTATCTTAGCCCAATTCATATCATTTACTAATTTTAGATTTAATAAAGTTAATTCAAACATGGGTTATATAATGTGTTATTTTTAACGTAAACTCAATACATTAGGCCGCTAAATCAATTGCACCAAAATTAGAAATAAAAGAAGGGTCGTTTTTAATCCAAATAGAGTCAATGAAAGATATGACACATTTAGATGGAACTAAATCCTCTTTTATAAGAGAATGGTCCAATAAAATCATAGCCATTAAAAAGTAAAAGTTTAAAATATTTAAACTTTAAAGATGAGATGGAAGGATTTGAATTTATCGCATAAGAAAATTTGAGACAAAACTAGAGGAGAAAATCCATTCCCAAATTAGATAAATAGTGAGCCACAACATTAACAATAACATCACACATCACATGATTACCAAAAAAAAATATTACTATGTATTTTTCAATAGAAAGGAATTACTCCAATTTTAATTGATACAAGACCGGCACAATCAATATGAATGTCCTGCTCTAATTTAAAAAATAGGGTTAAAAGAATATGGATTTATATATAATTTTTTTAAATACCGTCATAAAATCATAAATTTTGAAAACAAATATTATTTTATACATGTTATTTTTTTTAAAAGGTGTAAAATAGATTTTGAAAATAAATAAATTGACTCCTCATAATTTGGAGTCCAATGTTATAACACATGCTACACTTGCGAGTATTTAACCTGCCATGTAACGTCTCGACTTATTTTAATTATTTTTCGTAATTAAAATTATGTGATGTTGTGTGTATGAATGTGATTATGTGTGTTTTATTATGTTGGGTACCTTGTGGTGAAGGATAGAGGTCCGAAGAATAGACTATAAGGTGTTGTAGGGGTGTGTGAGTAATTGTGTAAAACTTGATGGTGTGGAGAGTAGAACTAATTAATTTATATCAGTTACTATTTATTTAATCAAATAATAGGAGGTGATTATTATTTAAATAAATATTTAGTGTTATTATTATTTTTATTATTTTAATTATTTTGATTAAATAATAATAATAATAATAATAATAATAACAATAATAATAATAATAATAATAAAAGGGAGTTGGGAGACAAAACTTCTGATACGTGTTTTTGGGAGAAAAAGAGAAAGAGGAGAGCTAGGTCTAAAGGGAAGAGAAGAAAGGATCACCATTATTGAAACTCTTGTAAGAACTCTAAGGTAAGGGTAGAGTTCTAATTATGTAAGGCATAGCATGATGATTGGTGGGTAGATTATGCCATGTAAGTTTTGTGTTCTTTCTCTATTCATGATTTCAATGAATTGGTATTGTGTGATTGATGAAATTCTTGATGAATTGTGAATGGTTATTGATGTTGTGATTGATGATAGAAAGATGTATCGTTGCAAATTTTGTTGTTGGATTTGTATAAGTGATTGTTGTATGTTGTTGATGTTGTTTGTGGTTTGTGATCGCGGGTCAGAGTCGGAACAAGGTTATGAGTAAAATTGATGAAAAGAATTTGGGGTTGGGACTTTAGAAAAATGATTTTTCGTGTTAAAATGTGTTCCAAACAATTTATAAGAAAAAAGGAGTTTTGGGAGGGTTCAAAAGTGATTTTCATATAATAAGTTGCAGAAAAAGTGCTTATGGACGCAGTGTAATCGATTACAGTTGTGGGCGTAATCGGTTACACTGTCTAAAAAATGCATTTTTGGATTTTTCGAAGGCGTAATCGATTACACTATTTATGGTAATCGATTACACCAATGGCAGTGGCGTTGGTGGCAGGTTACGCATGCGTTACCTGTTACCTCATTTTACGTAACCGGTTATACTGCTGTTTTTTGAAAAAATCTTCTAAAATTCATAACTTTTATTCTTGGAGTCCGATTTGAGTTTCGTTCGAAGCGTCAGGAAGCTGACATGTCGAGCTTAAGTCTAAAAATAGTTGTGGTGGCAGAAGTTGAGTAATTATGTTGTTGGTTGTATGAAACTCATTATTATCATTATGTTATGGTGTGGTATGATTACAAATGCTTTGTGAGTGCTTGGTATGTTGTATGCTATTGTTGCTAGATTGTATGGCATTTCATTGTTGTTGACTTGTAGTGGCATGTT